CAAACCAGGCTGCATCGGCCAGTGTGTTTTGTTGTTGTTCTTGCAGATAACCAAATTTGTTATTGTAAATATGAATGGAAAAGGATTTACAATAAGTTATTTTAGGAATTTCCAGAACTGGCAAGAAGCTTATATGCTAGAGCTAAGGGAATGGGGCAGTTCCTACGTGAACCCATCAGTGCTGCTACCCACCGCGTAGCACAGGAACCTCTGCCACAGCTGCTCACCAAAGCACATGCTATCCCCTGAGCGGCCACACCCTCAGGGGCTCATTTACCAAGCTATGGACACCTCTGTTGGGCAAATTTCCAGATGAAACAGTGCCTGGGCGTGGTAGTTCCAAGCTTCCCAGGCTCTGTGCTAGGGGAAGGCTCACTAGAAAGGGTTGGATGGGCCAGTGTATACTCAGGGTAAGGTAGGTAAAGAGTGAAGGAGAGATGCTCCCTTACCTAGAGTGGTCATGAAAGAGGAATCAGTTAAAAATTGCCTTTAGCTGCTCACCAGGAAACCTATCAGTAGTTCCTTGCCCACTATGAAGATTAAGCCCGATGACATTACGACTTGGCCTCTCCTTTCTTCTCCAGTCTCATATACTGCGCACTGGTGCTTCATTTATGTGAAATTGCTGCTGCTTCCCATGTACATCATGCTGTTTCCAAGGTTGTGCCTTCTGTGTTCATTCTCCGGACTGCCTTCCTCTATTCTTTGCTTGGCTGTTTAAGCTGGGGAATCCCCTCTAGGAAATCTGCTTGGCAACCGGGTTTGTATCACAAGCCCCTTTTCTATGTTCCCTCCACAGACTTTCTGCCATACATCTCACAATTCTCTGTATTATGTTAAAACAACCAATTTGTGTCTGTCTCCTTCATTTTCTGAGTTCTGAAAGGTCAGGGTTGCCTCATTCATCTTTGTAACCCTAGTGCCTAGTGCATAGTAGGCAACCAATAAATATTTTGAGATGACACGAGTTAAATTTTGAAGGAGCAGGAATTTGCTAGTTCAAGAAATTAGAGAGAAAGATGAGCATTGCAGGCAGCACATTCAAAGTTACAGCTACGTGAAAGGGCAAAACAGGTTTGGGAGAATGTCAGCAATTTGGTGAGGCTAGAAGGAAGAAAATATGTTGCGGGGAGGCCCAATGTGATGCTGGAGCATTAAGAGGGTCAGGATTAGGATGGCTCTTATGTGCTAAGCAAAAGAATTTGAGCTTATTTGAAAGCTTTGGGGATGCTAAATTGAAGGTTTTAAAACATGTAAGGGACTTACATGACCAGATTTGTTTTTAAAGAGGTTTGTCTAACAGCTGAGTAAATGGTGGATTAGAGGGGCTCAGAATTGAAGCAGAGAGACCATGAAGAAGTCATTCCAACAGTAAGTGAGAAAGAATTGAAGGGAGGGGCTCATGGGCTGCTTAAGAGTTCAGATCAGTGGGATTTGGGGACTGACTAGCTGTGGCAGCTGAAAAATGGAGCATGGTTTTAACCAGAAGGACCCTATGGCCACTTCCCAAACCATCTTCATGCAGTTTTCCTCATGTCCTCAAAACTGAACTTCCACCTATTGGTGATGGATAATACAAAACAAAATGCATCACATCTATTTCCCATCGATTGTAAGGAAAATAAAATCTAAATATTAGTGCCGGAAGAGGCTTTGGAGATCACCCAGTCCAACCTCTAATTTGATGTATGGCTGAGCTAGAGAGAAGAAATTACTTTTCTACTGTAGCTCTGAAAATCAGTGGTAGGCACTGAGTCACCATTGCATCATCTGCTTAATTCTCCACATAGCACTCTGTCTCTCATATTTTCTTGTGTAATTGCTTATTTTCTGTCTCTCCTTGACATTAGAACAGAGCCCTTGACTGTCTAAAACAATGTTTGGTCTGCACGTAGATACTTAATGAACATGTGTTGAAAGAGTAGAGAGCCAGGTATAATCAGGTTTGCTCCCCGCTGAACCAGTGATCTTTGCACAGGACCTTGGTTTGGAGGTTATCAAATCCGTAATTCTATTTCATACTAGGGCTTTGCTTAATTAATCCTACAGAGACTAAAATCTAAGCAATAACATTGTACAGTAGTTCTCCATGTGGCTTCAAATAGTGAAGAACTGAAAGTAATCATTATATTACTTTAAAAATATTAACCACTGACAAACTCATAACCATTAGGATGGCTATTGTAAAAGAAAAAAGTGTTGGTGAAGATGTGGAGACATTGGAACCCCTGTACACTGTTGGTGAGACTGTAAAATGGTGCAGTTGCTATGGACAACAGAAGGGAGGTTCCTCAAAAATTAAAAATAGAATTATCATATAATCCAGCAATTTCACTTCTGGGAACATACCCAAAAGGACTGAACATAGGGTCTCAGTGAGGTATCTGTACACCTATGTTTATAGAAGCATCATTCATAATAGCTAAGATATGGAAGCCACCCAACTCTCCATTGATGGATGAATGGATAAACAGGATGTGTTATATATACACTATGATACATTATTTAGCCTTAAAAAGGAAGGAAATTCTAACACATGCTTCAACATGGCTAAACCTTGAGGCCATTGTAATAAGTGAAATAAGACAGTTATAAAAAGACAAATACTCTATGATTCCTCTTATACAGTACCTAGAATAGTCAAATTCAGAGACAGAGTGTAGAATGAGAGGACAGAATATGGACTTGTTTAATGGATATGGAGTTTTATTTTTGCAAGATGAAAAGAGTTCTGGAGATTGGTTGCACAACAGTGTGAATCTACATAACACTGCCAAACTGTACACTTAGAGATGGTTAAGAGGACACGTTTTGTGTGTATTTTACCACAATATAAAAATATTTATCACTGAGGTGTGTATGTCTGTTATCTCATTTGAGTCTTACATTAACCCCGAACTGCTGTCAGAAATATAAGTTTCATTTTATAGTGAGGAAAATAAGGCTCAACAAAGTGAAGTGAATTGCCCAAGGCACATAAGTGGAAAATGGATAAGCAGAGTTTCACACTCAGATCTCCTGATTTCACGCCCAGTGCTGGCTTCTGCCACGTCAGGGGAGAGAAAGTATGGTTGAATTAACTTGCCTGCTGGCTGTGTGTGTGTGTATGCATGTGCATGTATGTGTGTGTTACAGAGATAGAGAACAGAGATATGAAAAAGGAGGGAGAGTGCATGTACTTAAGCTCCGAGACACTTGCTTCATGCTTCTTGTTCAATTTCCCTCCCTTCCAAAATCTTCAGAAGGCAGGTGTGAGTCAACTGTAAATATAGAGAGAAAAGGTTGCCCAACATTTCCTAAGCTAGCAAAATCAGAAGTCCCTGCCATGGACATGGTCTGTGTACATGGAATTAAAAACCTTTAAGAAGATCAGGAGAGGACAGTGGCTCTTACTTTTTGCAATGGCTCCATTAGACATTATCCTACTTCCTATGAAAGCAAAAGATGACAGAACACATTTACAAAATCTAATGCGGTCTAGTGGGAGGAAGAAGAACCAGCAGGAAGAGCATGGAGCAGGAGTTAAGCCTACACCTACCTGGCCAGACAGCCAATCAATTCACTGTATAAACCCAGTCATGCTCCTTCCTCTGCCACAAAGGTTGGGCTCCCATTACTACCGTTATTTTCATATACCACATTGGAGCTGATTTAGAGGGAAGAGCATGATCATTTTCCAAGGGGAGTTAAAAATGCAAGAGGGTCATCTAGCCTCTTATAAAGAACTTTTATTTATCATGGGCCTACTATGTGTCAGGCACTGTAATGGACATTTCACTTATAATGGCCCTAATCCTGCTACTGTTTGATAACTTATTTTTATGAGGCACTTAGAAGGAAGAAGATCAAGTTCCCCAGAGTATTTCTATAGAGGATAAAGAGTGGAGTCTTCATATGAACATAGGTCTATTTCCAAAGTTTGTTCTTTTCTCCATACCATAGTGTTAAGTTCAACAGCCAAGATATAAAAAGCTAAGGAAGTACCAAGGAGACAGGAGAGAAGTTAGCTGTGTCTGTCATCCACAGGTGAAAGCTTTATTTTATTATTATTATTTTTTTCAACTTTCATTTTAGGTTCAGGAAGTAAAGGCACATGTTTGCTACATGGGTAAATTGTGTGTCACTGAGGTTTAGTGTATGAATGATTCCATCACCTAGGTAGTGATCACAGTACCCAATACGTAATTTTTCAACCTTTCTCCGCCTTCGTCCCTTCACCCCTCTCATAATCTCCAGGGCCTTTTGTTTCATCTTTATGTCCATGTATACTCAGTGTTTAGCTCCTACTTGTAAGTGAGAACATGCAGTAGTTGACTTTCTGTTCATGTCCTTTGTCCATTTTTTAATGGAGTTTTTTTGCATATTGAACTAAGTTCCCCAGGTGAAATATTGATGGATTAGTAGGCAGTGAAGTGCAAGAAAGGTGTTGACAAGCTGATGGGGATACATTTTGTGAAGCAAGAACACAAAGCAAACTCCAGGTGATAGAGAGTAGGAGGGTCTAAGAAAATTGTAAACAGTTCTGTTTGGTTTAAGGGTAGTTGTGTTTGGCTGTGGTTGGAGATCATAATTCCATCATCTTTTGAGCTAGTTGGGACTGCATTGTGAAGAACCTTCAATTCTGTATAAAGCAGTTTGGAATTTATTTTTATAGGCAGTGGGGAGCCATCAAAAGTTTGTATCAAGGGGTTTCTCCACTGTTTTTAGTACTATCTATAGGTGTTCTTTATATGCTGTGATAAAATTGAGCATCCCTTGAGTGTTTAAAAAAGAGATCGTGTTTTCATTCTATCTCATATAGACAATAGCATTGCTGGCTAACATTGCCCAGAAGCAGTTGCATTGTATCAGCAGTTGCATTGTATCAGCAGTTAGAGTCCCTTAACATGGTGAGATCAGTGAGATCTAATCACACTGGCTTTTTTTCTTGGAATAATGAGACACTTGTTTTTGTTGTTGTTGTTTATTTTTGTTGTTTGTTTGATTATTCTTTGCTTTAGGAAGGGGTAAGAAGCTTCAAGGAACTTCGAGCCAAATTTCAAAATCTTGATGCTCCACCTCTTCCAGGACCTATTAAACTCCCAGCAGGAGTTTCTCCAAACAGTGACATTGGAGGCAAACAGTCAACTCAAATTTTGGCCAATGGGAAACCCCTCTCATCCAACCACAAGCAGCACCCACCACACTGTTCCAGTAGTGAGTCCCGGCCTCTTCAACCTCAGAAAATAAAGTTGGCTCAAAAGACTGAAATTCCAAAATGTTCTAGCTCCCCAGGGCCTCTGGGAAAGTCCACTGTATGTTCTGCAGCAAGTTCACAGAACACTTCTCTGCTGTTAGAGGTGACTCAGTCAAATGTTGAGATAATCACTAAGGAGAAAGTAATGGTGGCCAACAGCTTCAGAAACAAACTCTGGAACTGGGAGAAGGTTTCATCTCAGAAAAGTGAAATGTCATCAGTCCTTCTCCTTGCCAACTGTGGAAGTAAGGCCTTCCATCTGGAAGGGCAAAAAGGCATGGGGCTTACTCCAGAGGAACCCAGGAAAAAGCTGGAAACAAAAGGAGCCCAGACTCTTCCTTCCCAGAAGCACTTGGTGGCCCCCAAAATATTACTTAATGTCTCTGAAGATCCCTCTTTTGTAATTTCTCATCATATCAGGAAGAGCTGGGAAAACCCACGTCCTGAGAAGAGCCCAGCAAGCAGCACCTACCAGCCCATCTATGAGTGTGAGCTTGCCAGCCAGGCCCCAGGTAACAAATATCCCCATGGGACAGGGGCTAGGAGGGGTCATCATGTTTTTCTATTTTAAAACCTGTTGACTCAGAGTGGTTATGTATATGACCTGGGCAATGTTGCTCCAGACTTTCAGCATGATATTCTAGGCCCATTTGCTAAACTGTAATCTTGGGTTTGAGTAAAGTGCTTAATCTCCTGGAATTGCTTTGTGAGATAGCTTTTGGAAAAACTTGGATTTGAATCCTAGCTCGACTTCTTACAAGTTGCATGAATTTAGGCAATCTATATTGATTCTTAGAGCCTGAGTGCTCTCTCATAACTTAAATCTGTCACCAATTGTCTGTCTTGGTAAACAATCCTCCTAATTTCTCAGGCCAAAACTTAGGACCCATGCTCTATTTCCCTTCTCTTCCCTCATTCTACACACTGAATCTATCAGCAAACTCTTGGTTTTGCCACCAAGCACTTGGTTCACCTCAGTATTATGTAAGTTATAAAAGGATAAAGACTGGCTGGGCACAGTGGCTTACGCCTGTAATCCGAACATTTTGGGAGGCCAAGGTGGGCAGATTACTTGAGGTCAGTTCAAGACCAGCCTGGCTAACATGGCAAAACCCCATCTCTATTAAAAATACAAAAATTAGCTGGGCATAGTGGCCTGTGCCTGTAATCCCAGCTACTCGGGAAGCTGAGACACCAGAATTGCTTGAACCTGGGAGGCAGAGGTTGTAGTGAGCCAAAATTGTACCACTTCACTTCAGCCTGGGTAACAGAGCAAGATTCTGTCAAAAAAAAAAAAAAAAAAAAAAAAAAAAAAAAGATAAGGACTGTCTTTTTTACTACCAAATCCCTAGCACCTAGAAGAAAAAGGCTAGATTGAATGAGTCCTAAAAAAAAAATGTGTTGAATGATTGATTAAGTGGATGGAAGGGTGGATGGATGAATCTCCTTACAACCTTGTATGGTTTCTGTTTGTACTTGGAATAGAATCTAAACTACTGGCTTTGTGGTCTTCATGGCTCTGCATGCTGGTCCCTGTTTTGTGTCTGACTTATCTCCTACCTCTCCTCCCCTAGCTCTCTGCCCATAGTCAACACACTAGATTTCTTGCTGTTCTTTAAATAGGCTTTGTCAAGCCTCGGGCCCTTTGTACTTGCCGTTCCCTCTTCCTCAAAAACTCTTTTCTTTAAGATTTTGTAGCTGCATTTAGGCCTAAGTTCCAAAAAAACTTTGCAAGGTTAGCTTTCTCTAACCTCTCTATATAAAGTATACTGCCTCATGATCAACAGTTCACACTTGTCATCCTACCTTATTTCCTTCATAGAACTAATGGATCTCTGTAATGATCTTGTTTATTTGTTTACTTGTTTATCATCAGTCTCTTGTTATTAGAATAAAAATTCCTGAAGGTAGGACTATACAAGTTCTTTTTCTCAACTCTATCCCTACTTCTTAGAACAATACCTGGAATATAGTAAATAAATAGTTATTGATGAAGGGATGAGGAAGAAGAAAAGACAGATGGGAAGAAAGATGTATGGGAAGAAGGACGGACAAGAGAAAGGAAAGAAGAATGTATTATCTACCAGATGGAGCTATTGAGATAGTTAAATGAGATAACGGATGTAAACTACTTAGCACAGTGCCTGGTAAAAACTCCAAGCCCAATTAGTAAGTGATAATTAATATTCACTATGTCTTCTTCCTAATGTGATAATGACTGAAGTTTTTGACAACGCTACTTGTAATTAAAGCCTAGGAAGAAAGGAACTTTGGGCCTGAGTTTCTGGGGATGTAACCCGCTGTGGGTGAAGCAATAAGGAAGCTTTCCCTCCCTTCCAGCTTGTGGAGGAGAGCATAGGAAGTCTCCCAGGGGTATATACAAAATGCTAGGCCACTTCTTAAGTTTTCGCATGGATGGCCCATGTAGTCAACTACTGTCTTACGTAAGTCAAAAATCAAAGCAGTTGGATTACATAAGATTTTGTGCTATTTTCAGTGTAAAGGGCAGATATGATTTTCATATATAATATTGGACTTTCTGTTGGAGTTGGATTTAAGACTGCAGAGGACAAATACATATAAAATTGGAACTTTCCTGGAAAATTCCAACACACAGGTGCCCAGATATCATAAAGTCAGTCTTGAAGCCAGTCCTAGGCTGTGAGCCCTGGAAATCCCAGATCAATTCTTATTCCTCTTTGTAGAGCCAGTATTATTTGCATGTCATAAGTGCTTGAAGAATCCTTTCAGTAGTCACAGCCTCTCTCCTATGAGGTAGGCCCTGTGCTTGGTGCTGTGGGATCAATACAACACCATCTCCACCCACAGAAGCCCACGTTTAATGGGAACATAGATCAGTACCTCCAATGTGCCATGATATTGATGCAGTGGTATTAACAATGTGCTATGGGGATACAAATCAGAGGTTGATTCCGGCCTTCATTCCTGTGAGAAATCAAGAAGAGCTTTCTAGAGGAGGTGTGATTGGAGCAGAGCCTAAAAAGAATGAATTGAAGTTTGTCAAAAAAGGGAATAGTGTTCCAGAACCAAGAAAAACATGAACAGAATTTTGGATATATGAGAGCTTTTTAAGGCTATCTAAATCAAATCTGGAGAATGGAGAAGCCAGTGATACGTGTGAAAAATTTTTGGGCTTTAAGTTGTGGGAAGCAAGACATATAATATGCCAAACAAAGAATCTAGAAACACAGATGGGTGCCTTGTGGTGTAGAAATGGCAGAGATGGAGTGACCGATTTCATGCTGAGGAAATCCTTAAAGCAGCAGCATGGCAACTGATCAGGTTTATATATTGATCGGGGCACTCTAGCTGTTGGGTGGAGAATAGATTGGACAGGACTGAGATGGAGGCAAAGAACCAGTTTTACCCAACAAGCTATGACATGAAAATAATCGTAACCTACTTTTTTTACTGTCTGTGTTCAGAGAAACAGTCAGATGTCAGACATCGCCACCTTCCCAAAATGAAGCCACTGCCCTCCATCAACTCCCTGGGTCCTCCTCCCCAAAAGCCTTCAAGACCTACCGTCGTGAACCTCCAGGCCTTTCAGAGGCAGCGAGCTGCTGTTCCCAGGACTCAAGGGGAAGGTAAGGAAATGCACAGGACCCTACACATGGCCAACCAGGAGTCACCTCCATCTCTACATCTTCTCCCAGGTGACCATGCAGCTGCTGTTTTCCATGAGGCTGGACATCCGTCACTGCTTATTCTTATCTAGGGGCTGTGGCAGCTTGCCCATGAAATGACGTCTCTGTGGGAATTGGCCCCTTATCGCTCCTAGACCAGCCCACTTCCCCTGAGAGCACTGCATTTGATCACTGGGAATCTGTCCAAGAGGAAGAAAACAAAAAGTTGCTGAGCAGGGAGTCACAGAACCTTTGTGTTTCCTGCAAACCTGTGTTGTCAACACAATCCATTGGTGCAGGAGAAGTGGGGAAGGAGTGAAAACGGAGAAAGTCAGTGTGAACTTGACCTGAAATCCTTAGCCGGGGTCGGGAGCGGGGGGGTGGCCTCAGACCTCTGTGATCTGCTTTTGGTAATTAATTGAAAGCCTATAACCCCCAACCCTCTGATCCCTTCCAGAAACTGAAACATCTTTGGAAGCCATTTTTTTCTGTGCTATTTTGTGTCTTCTTTTACTATTTAAAGGAACACCTCTCATCCCTCACCACTCCCACCACAATCTGATCTTGCTGACATTTTAAATGCCTTAGCTTATGTTTGCTCTAATGAAACACAAGATGAACATACACTTTGGGACAAAATGTACTGCTGTGTTAACATTTATTTTACTGTGACCATCAGCACCAGCAGATGGCAGATTCACTGAGAGAGCTAGCGCAGTCTTTGTTCGTTTTAACTGCTTTGGGCAACTTCATGGTTAAATGCCTCTAACTTCATGATTCTCAAACTTGAGTGTACATCAGAATCACCTAGAGGACTTGTTAAAACACAGATTGCTGGGCCCCGTTCTCAGTTTCTGGTTCAGTTGGTCTGAGTTGGAGCCTGATAATTCGCCTTTTAACAAGTTCCCAGAGGGTGCTAATGCTGCTGGTCCAGGGACCACACTTTGCGAACCACTGCTACAAGTCATCTTAAGTCTTATCCTAAAAGGAAATTCTATATGGGGAGATAGGCTCTTATCAGTATACTTTACTGATACGGCCAGCTCCAAATCAAAGAAGGATAAATGTGATTTTTACAAACATTAAATCATTCAGGCCTCAAATAATCTCTCTGAATGAGAAGAAGGTTTATCAGACAACATAGAAAAAAGTACTAAGTCTTTTGTAATAAAATGGGCTTCTGTACTCACTAGCTATTTAAGTTTGGGTTTGCTAATCACTGAGCCTCATTTTCCTTGTCTATAAAATGGGGATAATTTTCCTTATCTGTAAAGTGGGGTACCACTGATCTCTTAGGATTAGTGTGAGGATAGTGAGACATGATGCCGGGAAAGAGCTTAAATAGTGCTTGGAACACCAGGGAGTGCTCTGTAAATGTGCAAGGTTATTTCAAAGGAACATTGAGCAGCAATAATCCCTGTACCATCTCCTGTGATGGAAATGAGAGATTAAGAGATAAACCCCACAGGGGTTCTGGTGTTTAAGGAGGTCAAAGTCTAACGCAAGAGATTATATCCATAAATAAGAAATTATACTGTAAAGTGTGGGTGAGTACTGCAATGCAGGAACAGGTATCCCCTGGGTGCTGGGGTGGAGGTAAGGGATGTTTCAGGCATAGGCAAGCTTCTATTCTCCACATTACCAGTGGGGTCACGTCATTGCACAAGCATCATTCACTTTAACCAGGCTGCTGCAAACACCTCTTTTTCACTCTGCCTCTTTCTGTTGCAGTGACTGTGGAAGAGGGCTCCCTGCCTCCAGAGAGGTAAGTACATGCTCCTCAGTTGTGTAGGAACGTAGCCCATCACAGGGGCTACTTAGCCTGCTCCAGAGCAGGCAATTAGCACAAACCAAGAATCTGTATTTCTCAGAAGGATTTCAGAAGGAGTGATTTATAAGCAGCAAACTGCAACTTTTGTTGTAAACAAAAGATTAAATAAATTATATTTAACATGTGCTGACGTTAAGTTGCAAAGATAGTCCTCACAGGTACTTTTTTAATTATATAGTTGGGTTCAGTAAATTGAAACATCACCCTTCATAGTCATAAATTGAATTAGAGGCTAAAGAATGCTCTGGGCAGCTGGTGTGATATCAGGAATCAGTAATGGGATAAAGGATGTTCTATTTTTGGTGCACTCCTTCTAAGAATTTTGCCATAGAAGTGTCAGTTCATTAACTCACTTAACCAAATAATATCTATTGAGACCTTCGATGTGTCAGGCACTCAGCTGGCTACTTTATACACATTTTTCATTCTGTTGTCTCAAGAGGGCTGCATAGTTGCTGCTGCCACTCACTTTTTTTTTTTTTTTTTGAGACAAAGTCTGGCTCTGTCACCCAGGCTGGAGTGCAGTGGTGTGATCTCGGCTCACAGCAACCTCCGCCTCCCAGGTTCACACCATTCTCCTGCCTCAGCCTCTCGAGTAGCTGGGACTACAGGCGCCCGCCACCACGCCCAGCTAATTTTTTGTATTTTTAGTAGAAACGAGGTTTTACCGTGTTCGCCAGGATGGTCTCGATCTCCTGACCTTGTGATCCGCCCGCCTCGACCTCCCAAAGTGCTGGGATTACAGGCGTGAGCCACTGCACCCAGCCGCCGCTCACATTTTATAGCTCAAGACACTTGTGCTCAGAAAGTTTGCCACTTGCTGAGCCATGATTCCAACCCAGATGTGCCATAACCACATTGTTTATATACCTCACCTCCCTCACAGATGTGTTCCCTGTTCTCAAAAAGGTTAGTCTTAGAAGAAGATCCAAACTTAACAACAAATAATCATATTACTTATTCCTTTATCAAATGTTTACAATGGTAAAGTGTGTTAAGTTTTGTAATAGAGGAAAGGACAAGATTCAGAGGCTGCACTAAGGAGGAAGTTGTTACATCTCCTTGGGAGGGCCAGAGAAGTCTTTAAAGAAGTATCAGTTCTCCATTGCTAGCGTAATGCTACATAATAACAATAAAACTTTCATAGCATACATGAGTCTGTGGGGTACAGCTGATTTGGACTGGGGTCAGCTGGGTTTGCTCATATGTTTGCAGTAGACTGCAGGTTGTCTAGGCAACTGTGATATTGGCTGTGGTGGCTCACATGTTGGGGGGAAGCTTACAGTTGGCTGATCTAGGATTGTGTTAGCTGGGGTGGCTGGGCACCTTGACTTGGCACCATCTGTCTCTCCTCATCCAGCAAGGTAGCCCAGGGACACCCTTCTACAGTCACTGCTAACAAGCAAGACAAGCCCAATCACACCAGCACTTTTCAAGCCCTTGCTGTGTTGCGATTGCTAACATCTTATTGGTCCAAGCAAGTAATGTGGCCAAGCCCAGAATCAGAGTGGGAGGGTGCTGAAAGTTTCATGGCAAAAAGCAGGGATGCAGGAAGGAGTGAAGAATGGGGTATTGAACCAGTCAACCTATCCCTGAAGAGGAAACATTTGAAATGAGTATTGAAGACGCATATTTGCAGCATAGCATGGGAAAGGACACTGTAGGTAGAGGCAGGAGGTGTGAAGCAACATGTTTAATTTGTGGAAACTAGAAATAAGTACAGTTAGAGTGTAGAAAGTATAGAAATGGATTGTAGAGGTAAACAGGAACCACATCACAGAGGATCTCATACAACAGGGAATTGGTAAGACAATCTTATTCAACAAGGAACTGTTAGTGTGGTGTTAGACACCATGTGCTCTGTGAACTCCTGGGTTTGTCGTCCCTTTGAAAAAGTTAACTGTGCTCTCAGTTGCTCTTGGTTCTTTCATATTGTGAACATCTCAGTAGGATTGAGTGTAAGGTGACTGTTGTGTTTAACTAGATACACGTTTTTCCTACAGATTGGTTCTAATCTAAGCTGACCTCTTCTCTGGCATTTAAATCAAAGAAACAGTAATCTGTTTCAACATGGAGGATAAACTTGCTGTGATGGCCCATTGGTCAATCTCCACGTGGTACCATCTTCCTGAGGGATTTACAGGCGCCATTTTGACTGTTCTGTCCTTTCATGCTGATTTTGGAACCTAACCTCCCTCTGAAATGAGGTTTCACTAAACAGTGATTATGATGTGGGCCATAGTGCTGAAAGAGTGAAAGACAAAAGAGATAAAGAGGGGCCAGAAAACTTAGGGCAACTTCGTGGAAGATGAAAGAACTGGAGCTGTATCCTGCATAATAAGTAGGAATTAGATAGGTTTACTTATGTGTTCTCTTTTGTGAGACCATAAAGTGGTGAGGCATGGTATTGTTCCCTGATATAAACACTGTTCTGACATGTAGTTGATCTGAGATGTAGTTGATGGGTGGATGGATGAATGGGCAGATGGACAAACAGATAGACAGACCAATCGATTTATAATATAGAGATACAACATGTTTGAAAGCAAGGAGTTTGGGAAGGAAGTAAGCAGACGAAAGGAGACTCTAAAGAGAAAGAAATACACAGACAAAAAATACTCTAATGTACAAAAATAAGAGATGAGGATGGATCCTAAAATACATTAAGTGCCATGGTAAAACGTTTGGACTTTATCTCTCCAATGATAAGTTAGTCTGAACAAGTAAATGCCATATTGTGTGATAGCTTTAGCTGTAACTTCCATGGAAACTGGTGCTTGTTTAGGAAGAGCATCATCCATGTTCTTGGTATTAATCTTCAATTCAGAGATTAGATTAGAAATAGTATGTGTAGGCTCTCATTACTGGAAGGGGATGTGCTGACTATCTGATGTAGCCAGGCCACATAGCACAAAGTTAATGAAAGCCTGGGTTTTGATCCAATCCTTAGAACTTAACACCTGTGTAACTTTGGGAAAATGCCGTAACTTCTGCAAACCTTAAAACAAACAAAAAAAAAAACTTCTGCAAAATTCTCAAAACGTCTAAGGACTACATTCGTCTCCAAATTAAAACTCTCATTATTTTCAACCATAATGTATAAAACAGGAGTCTGTGTTCTAGCTGTATTTCTTTGGATATGTATTTTGATCATCTTAAAGGTCTATATCTTAAGATCTGCTCAGTTTCTACTTTTGTGAAATGATGATGTTGTTATTACCTAACTCATACTAGTGTGGTGAGGGTAAATAAAATAATGATCTTAAAGTGTTTAGGGCAGTGCCTAGCATCTAGAGAGTGTTCAATAAACCTTGCTTAGCTATTATATAACCTCCCAGCAGGGCAAGAATCTATGCTGAGAACTTTAGCATATGCTGAGAATTTCTATGCTGAGAAATTCATTCACGAGGAGCTCAACACCTGGAGAGTCTTATATTTTTCTTCATCAGAGCCAATTCTATTCATTCAACATGTATTTATTGAGCATCCTCTATGGCCCAAATACTTACATACATTGAAAATATAGCAGTGTACAAAATAAAATAACACATGTGCACGCACACACACACACTGCTTTGTTTATTTATTTATTTCAAAGTCCTTCAAGCTGATCTGGAAAAAGAATTGACCTCCCTACCCAAACTCTCAACCATATGTCTAATATATACTCTTTGGTACAACAGGCATCATATTTACCCCCTCTTTATGTGACAATTCTTTACACATCTAAGGACTACTTTCTTCTCTAAATTAAAACTCTCATTATTTTCAACCATAATGTATAAAATAGGAGTCTTTGTGTTCTAGCTGTATTTCTATGTATACATATTTTTATCATCTTAACCCAACACACTTACAACAGCCATCTTTCATTTCTGGACCTCTTTGTGTCTAAAATATGAGAGGTGACGTTGTATAAGGGAACAAGTGCAGGTTCTGAAGTCATATTGGCACAGATTTAAACCCCTCTTCCATACCTTAGACAAGCCATTTAACAGCTCAGATCTTTGATATACATATCTGTAAAGTAGGCACAATATTATTATTTACTTTATTGCCATCAAGGCCAAGTGAGATAAATTGTATCAAGCATGGAACACACAAAAGAAACTCAATAAGTCTCAGTTTCTCTAAACCTTGGCCTCTCCATCCCTTGTTACCTCTGAAATATTAATGTCTCATTAGTTCCCAACAGTGAGATGGCTCTTTGGAGATTATTCTTTGTCATCACTCTTTTATGCAAACCAAGCTGGCTGGCATCTCTTTTGAATAAGCAGCCCCTATTTGTGTGAGCAAAGCAGGTTAGTCCCAGGGCAGCAATCAGCACTGGTCTCTGTCAGTACTTAGCGGGGTTGGCTAATATTTTATTCATTAGCTATAAATATGGCTTTTCTCCCATTAAGAAGTGTCAGAGATAGTCCTGACTCAGGGAATCTGACTCAGACACATAAAGGAAGTACTGTTTATTTTGGGAGTAGGAAGATGACAGCAGTGTTTCTCAGGGGAGGGTCTGTGGGTGAATTCTCAAGAGTTTACCATTTTCTCTCTTGAAGTTTTTAATTTTGTGTTTTTACTTCGAGATAGTCTTTAAATGTTCATAAGCTTTTAAAATAAATCTATCAGCTTTTATTAAAAGTTGATAAGCTTATTTTGAATCTTCCCGATGACTTCTTTTATGCCCAGTACTTGGAAATATATATGTGTATTTGTGTTTTTGCAGTTTCTACCCCAAGCAGAGTGGGAAACACGGGGTCTTCTAGGGCTGGGCAGATCATGTCACTGTCTCTAGGACCTGTGTCATGCAGTGGGGAGTGGCTGATCCTGTGGAAGTGAGGAATAGATGCCTTACCAAAGGCCTTCAAGTAAAATAATGATAATTACAACAACACTGTAACCAAAAAAAATGCATTTACAGTACTGATTTGCATAGTAAT